GCCGTTGTCAGCGCCGTCGTGAGCGGCTCAGGCTCTGCAGGCACAGAGGCCCCGCGCCGCTCACCAGGGCTCCCCGCGGCACCGGGCTCCCCATCGCTCCCCGGTGCGGGACACGGAGCGGAGCCGTCCCCGCGCTCACCGTGGGCGCGCACGGCCAGGGCGGCCGCGCGGCTGAACGTCTCCCGCCGCACGGTGAGCGTCAGGCGGCAGCGGATGTCGGCGCCGGCGGGCGCCTCGGGCAGCACCAGCGCGTCCTGCACGTCGAACAGCCCCTCCTCGGTCTCCTCCACGTGCGCGTCGGCGCGCCGCAGCAGCCGCGGCCCGCGGAACCAGGCGAGCGCCAGCCCCGCGGGCGGGTAGACGCCGCGCGCCGCGCAGCGCAGCACCAGCGGGCGCCCAGGCGCCGCCGGCTCCGCCGAGAGCTGCAGCGCGGGCGGCAGCGCTGCGGGCAGAGCGCGGCGTGAGGCGGCGCCGGGCACGGCGGGCCCGCGCGGCGCCGCGCTGCTCACCGTACACCCGCAGCTCCACGGCCCGCTGGAGGAGCCGCCCGCCGCAGGCGCCCTGGCAGATCCTGGTGCCCTCGGCGGCCACCGTGGCGTCGGTGACGCGCAGGAYGCTGTGGCCGCCGGAGGAGGTGACGCTGCCCAGGTTGGTGTCCAGCCCCCGCCACTGCACGGTGCCCGCGGGGCAGTCCAGCGAGCAGTTGAGCTGCACGGAGCCGCCCAGCGGCACCAGGGGCTCCGGCGGCTCCACCGAGAGACCCGGCACCGACAGGCGCCCTGTGCGGGGAGAGGAGGCACCGTCAGCACCACCGGCACCGGCCGACACCGCCAGTACCACCGGCACCGTCAGCACCACGGGCACCAWGGGCACCGTCAGCGCTGCCCCCAGCCCTGCAGGGCACCGTCCTGCCTTCCAGCAGCCCCCGGGCAGGAGCTTTCCTGGGGTCCTGCCCCTGGCTGCTGTCGGGAGCTCTCCTGGGCACGGGCAGCTTTCCCTGGGCCTCTGTGCTCGGGAACAAGGACCAAAGCGGCTCCCGGCGGCTTGCCGGGGAAGGGAGGCCCGGAGCCGCCCRCGGCTCCCACGGCATCGTCGGCCCCGCGGTTTCGCCGCAGGCAGAGGGCTCGGGGAGCAGTCCCCGTCCTGCGCCGGCCCCGTTCCCGCCGCGGCTCGAGCGGCAGCGCCCGCACTCACCGCGGCAGCCCCGGAGCGAGCCCAGCAGGAGCAGCAGGAGCGGCCCCATGGCCCCGCGAGCGGCGCCTCTCCCGACCCTCCTTCCTTCCTTCCTTCCCCAGCTCCTCGCGCCGCGACGGCCTCGGCTCCCGCTCTGCCGCCAGCCCCGTCCTCAGCCCTTCTTAAAGCCGGCGGGATCCGCCCCGCGCGCCTGGGGAATTCCGGGCGCATCCCGCTGAGCCGGGCACGTGCTGCGCGCGGGCGCCGAGGCCGTGGCGCGAGGGCAGCTCGGGGCTCCCGCTCGCTGCTGCGCTGCAGCCGCTGCCGCGGCCAGAAACTGCCACTGCCCCGGAGCCCGGCCTGACTGCGGCCTCCCCGGAGCCCGGCCTCGCTGCGGCCTCCCCGGAGCCCGGCCTCGCTGCAGCCTCCCCGGAGCCCGGCCTGACTGCGGCCTCCCCGGAGCCCGGCCTGACTGCGGCCTCCCCGGAGCCCGGCCTCGCTGCGGCCTCCCCGGAGCCCGGCCTCGCTGCAGCCTCCCCGGAGCCTGGCCTGACTGCAGCCTCCCCGGAGCCCGGCCTCGCTGCGGCCTCCCCGGAGCCCGGCCTGACTGCGGCCTCCCCGGAGCCCGGGCTTGCTGTGGAGCCCTGCCCGGACTGCAGCACCAGGGCGATGGCAGGGCCAGAGCGGGCAGATGGAGCCCGGGATGGGGCAGGACGATGGATAATGGAGCCCGGGATGGGGCAGGACGATGGATAATGGAGCCAGGTCGGGCCGGGCCGATGGATGACGGCGCCAGGTCGGGGCCATCCGGCCGAGCGGCGCCCGCGGCCGCAGGGGCTTCCCGGCGAAGGCTCCATCCCGGGGCCGCGGCTCGGGCGTCGCTGGCGAGGGGCCGAGCCGCCCGGCGCCGCTCCGCACGCCCGCCCGCTGCCGACCCCTCTGCAGCCGCCCGGGGCCTCCCYGCTCCCCGCGGAGCAACGGGAAAGCCCGGCCCGGCTTCCCGGCGGGATTGATGGGCTGCCGTTTGCCAGGCTGCAGGGTGGAAGTGCTCCGTAAACAGCCGCCGCCRGGCCGCGCTCGGCGGCCAAGGCCCTGATTTATGGCGGGGGATTTTCCTTCCCCCCGGCGCTGTCTTTGCTGCCCGGCACGTTCCCGGTAGCCCCGGGCCAGGGTCACCCTGCGCTGCTCGGCAGCACCGACCCCCCCGGAGGGCGTTTCTGGCATCGGCGGGAGCGGCTCTTTGGAGCAAAGCRGGGACAAGGGGACAAAGCGCCCGGGGCGCCGGGACGGCGACGTGGCCTGCGCGGGGCCGGTGCCGCCGCGGCCCTGGGTGTCCCCGCGCCGAGGCCGCTCCGGCCCTGCCACAGGTCAGTCCCATAGGAGGCCCTTTAGAAATAAAGGAACTTTCCGCCGTGGGTCAGCGACCCTTTAATGACTACCCGAAACTCCCGTGTTCCGCGAGGGACTTCCTCCAGGGCGGGATTCGCGGAGCACTTGAGGCTATGAGTAATCCCACTTGGATACGGCATTTCTCGGAGCTGCTCCGGCCCCCGCGCGGGCCGGCGAGCGGGAGGCTTGGAAGAGGTGATGGAAAGCRGACAAATCCCCATGTAGAGAGGTCGGAGCTGTGGGAGATGCCGGCGCCCTTCGGAGCGGCAGAGCCGCAGCGCCCGGCTCGGCCGCCCGTCCCGCCGCGAGAGCGGCCCCAAGGGCAGCGAGGAGCCCGCGCCGCGGGCAGCCGCGGCACACGGGGCAGAAGCGGCRAGCGCAGCCTCCGCTTTCCTGGAAACGGAAACTGGCCTGGGTCGGAGCAAAGGAAACGCTCGTTTTCAGGAAGCCCTCGGGGCTTCCCTGGGGTGCCGAGGAGGGCCCTTCCCGGCAGCGCCGGGCGCCGCGGGGCTSGCGCGCGCCAGCAGCCGCCGCGGGGCCCCGGCGCTCCGTGGGGCCGGGACTGCCCCCAGCCCAGCCCGCACACAGGCACCAGCCGCGGGGCTCGCTCCGAGGCTGGAAAAGMACAGAATTGGCTCAGAGAGCTGGAGGGAGCGCTGCAGCTCTTCCCAAGCCGCGGGATGCGCCGGGCGCCCCGTGCTCCGGGTGTTCCTGCTGGAGCGGGGGCCCAGAGGTCCCCTCCAGCCTCGACCATTCCGGGATTCCGTGAAACGCAAAAATCAGCAAGTTTTGCCATCACGGGGCTGCTCCTACAGGATATCAGCCCTTCAGCCACAGATCCCAGCCAAGGGCTGACAGGGATTTGTTTATGTTTCTTGCGATTATACTGTTCCCTTTGGTAGCATCCTCCAACCCTGGAAAAAATTATGTGCAAGACAGGATCTCGGGTAGGRCGAGCTGGAAATGGGCAGCCTGGATCCCTTAACACGCTCCGCGTGATGGAGATCCAGGGACGAGCACGGAATTTGAATCGATTTCCATTGATTTCCAGGGCCGGGGCTGCCCTGCGGCCGAAGGACGAGACCAGAGCGCGACAGCACCACGGGAGAGGAGCAGTTTAATAAACAACCAACGGAGGGAGAGAGGAGCCAGCTCTAAACACAAGTTGAAGTAAAATAAGTACATTCCATCATGAGCGCAAGAAAAACAAACCAACAAACAAAGAGGAACGCCGGAACAGGCGTTGTGCCACGCAGGGGAAGGCGCCGGGGAGCCTCCCGGCCGCGGAGCCGCGCGGATCGCGGTGACGGAGATGCTCAGAGCCCTTCAAGTGGAACGAAACCCGGAGCAGCGGGAGGCTGCTGCTTCACACAAGCGATGGCAAAAGAAAAGGAACGGGGTTAATGCACTGGCTTCTACCTGCGCTACTTGGGCTGCTGTGGTTAGGGCCAGAAAGCCGACTTTGGCCTCACGTTTGGGCCGCTGCTGTGACCGACCTGAACCGTGCCCGGCTGCAGAGGAGCCGCGGGAGCAAGGGCGCGACGCAGCCGGGGCCGGCGCTGCTCCCGGCTCAGTGCAGTCCCACAAGAGGCTCTTTTAAAAACGTCTTATTTTCTTCGAAAGGAACAGAAATTCGCAGAACTAGCTGGATGCTCTGCCCGGGTTTTCCAGGCTCCACCGGGAAAGCTGCACAATTACCAGCCCTTCAGAACGGGAAGATTCTTCATGCAGGTCCAGTAATTCCAGCTCGGCCCAAGTCCTTCCCTCTCAGCAGGTGCCTCCCTGCTCCAAGGGGTGGGAGAGCTTCCTTTGGGATGGCCTCTGCCCCAGGACAAGGGGGAGCATTCCCAGGACGTGGGAGCACCGCAGTCCCTTCTCACTGCTCGTGGCGATGGAAACGCGGAGGAAGGCGGCGCGTCCCGGCCCGAGCGGCTCCGCAAGCTGCTCTGTGCCYGCAGGACGGGGGAACGTTCGGGACCACCGGGATCAGCTCGTCACAACGCGCAGGAGTCCGAGYGCTCCGGAAAACCAGGGGATCACAGAGGCGGAAAAGGGGCAAGAAGCTCCAAGGAGACAGAGGCCGGGAAGCCTCAGGCAGCAGCAAGCGAAAGGGAAGTGGGTCAGAAGCACGTAGGTTTCCATAAACTATTAAATAACGGAAAGGACTCTTAAAAATATATATATATAATTTATATTATATAAATTATGTTTGTCTTCTTTGTAACATTCTATTTTACCCGTGAATGTCTGAGTGCCTCCCTGTGAATGAGGTAACGATTCAGTGGTTCGTTTCGCGTCGGTCTTGTGTGAGGGACAAGGTATTTGAGCTGAATTTCACACAGTGTAAACRGGGGGGTTGCAGATCGGCTGGGAGAAGCTTCAGCCAACACAGACCATTTCCGAGCAGTGGAGCTGGGGCTGCTGGGCAGAAATCCGGGTGCGAAGTTGGGGCTTCCCGCAGGGAAGGGTCTGCTGGACACGGGCAGCGCGGGCGGTCCGAGGAACGGCACCGTTTGGGGCGTCCCCGCAGCGGCCTCGAGGAACGCGGAGGCGCCGGCGGCCGGCTCCGCTCCACACTCCCGCATCGGAGCTGGGTACCAGGCAAGGGGGACACTCAACAAACCCAGYTCTTTCGTTTCAACAGCCACCTCCAACAAGCGGGTCAGAAAAGCGSTAAAAGGACATTTCTAGCTGAGCCCTAAGCGAGCAGCGACTCGGAGCTGTGAACATCCAAGAGGTTCCCGTGGCTTTCCTGCCACGCAGAGTCGGCACGGAGTCGGCACGGAGCAGGCCGACACGGAGCAGCCCGGCCCGCGCGGGCGCCGGCCCCTCGCTCCCGCCCGGCCTCTTTGGGCACTTGTATTTTCATTTCTTAAGGGTTCTCTGCTCCCCCTGCATCGCTCCTGACCTCGTGCAGATGCGAACAAGCGTTTCCTGCCCCTTCGCATCCCTGCAGCTACACGGAAGCTTTCAGGCACGCTCCTCCGCTCCCTCAACGCTCCAGCTCAGGCAACTGCTGCTCCTTCTAGGCCGGCCTAACCCTGCAGCTGAGGCTGCAGTTTCAGCACTCAGAGCAGGCTCAGGAGCGCGGCGTGCGCCAAACCTGGCAGGTCAAGTCACTGTAAACGTCGTGGGGATCTTTTGGACCAAGCAAAGCGAGCTCCACTTATTATCTGGTTTTAACATCAGATGGCAGCAGTTTGGGGGRAAAAAGCACAAAACAAAACAACCTGCTTTCTAAAAGTGCTCRAGATAAACAGCTATTTCTCTGACCATCTCAGGAAACTATGCTTTATCAAAGTGCTTAAYGGAGTTTAGTTGTTTCTCCAACCTCTCAAGAAACTACATTTTCTAAATAATCTTTCCAGTTCCATAAAGAGATRAAATAATAATAATAAAAACCCACTCCAACAAAACAAAGCCTCCACACTTTTGAATTCCCCCCTGGAGGTAAGAGCAGACAAAAGTTAGCTTAGTGTTCAACAAAAAAAGGAAAAACCCAAGCCCAACAAGAATCCCAATGCTGCAGCCATCTACGTGTTTGTTGTTCAGGTAATTGCCTTCCCATCGTTTGCCCGTTCTCCCTCGTGAATAAGGACAGTCTCAGTTGCAACTTTGCTTCTTAATTTTGTTACCTCCCCACGATCAAGTTGATTTCCTGTCCAAGTGTTGCTCGGAGCGGGATGGACAGATTCACAGGGACCTCGGCAGGATCTGCTGGACGCCCGCTGTTCCTCACACACGGACTCCTCGCTGTGTTAGCGCAGCCCCGCCTGCACGCGCTGGGCGGGAGCTTCCGCGCCGGGGCTGCCGTTTGCCCCGTGCCGCGCTGGGACGAGCAGCGAGCACCAGTTCCTGCAGGGGATGGGGGCACGTGGCGGACGCCTCGCTTTATTCTTGCTGGCAGATTGGTTAGCTCACGTTAAAACAAAGACAAAACTAGTTCCTTAGTTTTTCACTGGCAAGTTGAGCATTTGGCAGGTCACACCATGAAGTTCAGCACTCACAGAGGAGMGCAGGTTTGCTTTACACAGCGATTCCTTCACGCAGTGCAGCTCAGCATCTCCCTTTCCACCAGCACCAGSGGACAGAACTCCATTTTTGCACCAGCTGGATAGATTTGGCTTGAAGGGAAACCGTTTCCCTTCTCCCGAGCTGTTGATGGGACAGTCCATTAGCTCCTTTGTYCCCCCGACCCGGCCGCGCTGCGCCCCGGCTCCAGCTGGCCAAGTGCAGCCTGGATGTGGATCTGGGAGCCAGGCCAGGCTCTTCCCCCCGAGCTCATACGCTGCTGTCCTCGAGCAGGGGCTCCTTGCCGTCCGAGCCGCCGGCCTGCGGGCTGTGGCCCTGGGCCCCGGTGCTGTGCTTCTTGTGGCCGCCCGATCTCAGCGCCAGGTTGTGCTCCGGGATGAAGAGGGCCACGAGGAGCGAGAGCAGGACGGAGCACGCCCCGAACAGGAACGGAGGCCCCGGGATGATGCTGCTCTGTAGGGCGAGACACCGCGGTGGCCAGTGCTGCCGGGCAGCGGCGGAAACGACCGACAAGCGGCGCGACAAAGCGCAACGCGTTACCTCGTCCGACGGGTTGGCCATGTTGGGCTTGGGGGCTTTACCCAAAGTCTCCACCTCGGCCATCTCATTCAACTCAACGTGAAAGAGATAGAAGACGAAGCCGTAGAGAGCTGGTCCCAGTCCATTGCACAGCCCCCGGATTCCGGTGATCATCCCCTGCACGACGCCTGGGGCAGAGCGAAGAAAGAAGGAAAAGGCTCCAGCTTTGTGAAAAGCCCCGTTTTAGTCAGAGATGCTTATGTCTGAAAACAGGATCAAACTTCTACATCTGGATTGACATGCACTCTACAGACGAGGTGCTTAGCTGGTGATTATCTTAGCTTAACAACACGTTTTCTACACTCGGTACTGCTGGGCTGGCTTGCTGCTTTCTAAACAAACCAAGCACGGGCACATAACGCAACAGCTTCCAACTGACCTGGAACTCCAAACCCAAGCAACCTCTGTTAAATCTTCAATCAGACAAATGATCATACAGCAGCCCCTCTGTTGGAGCAGGCAACACTGAACATTTGTCTTTGTGCACAATTTAAGAATCAGGCAGGGACAAAGGCAAGATAGTGCCCATTATCACCAAGAATATTTTACAGTTGACGCAGCTGTTTTCACAACTCTACCCTACCAACGCTAACAGTTAAAACACTTCTCAGCCAAGACTCCTGCTGAGATGGACTAACGGATGAGACAAATCAGCAGCTCCGACTTACCCTGTTGGTCAGGGTCAGCGTTTCTAGATACCATGGCACTAATGGCTGGAAAGGTGATACTAGACATCGCGGCCACGGCTCCTGCTGCCCACATCATCCTTGGTAGGGAGAGAGGCACAGATTAACAGGCAGCAGCTACAGGTGGAGAGCAAAAGCAGCCAAGCATCTCCCTGTGGTGGGASACGGCGAGCGATGCGCAGAGCGGCGAGGAGCAGGAGCCCTGCCAGCTCCCACCAACCCAACCTYGGGAACCTCTTACCATGGCTGCGATCCGAAGCCATACCAGGCGAGCTGCAGGATCTGGAAGCCTAATCCCAGTAAGATGGTGTTTTTGTTTCCTATCGAACGCATGAGAATTCCCAACACGACTGTCTGGAAACAGAAGAAAAACGTGGGCTTTCAAATAAGGGCAGAGCAAGGTGACAACCTGGCAGAGAAGATGACAGCAATCAGAGCAAACCCTCGTCGCTGTGAGACCGCTCTGTCGTGAACACACTTTCCTCCAGAGCGCTTTGCAACGAAGCATTTTGACAAGGCAAAAGTTTTGACGTGTTTTGGGAAAAAAAAAAGAAAAAAAAAGACCATGTAGCAAAACACACAACAGCAGCAGTGGCAACCCTGGTTCTAGTCAAGGGCAGGGAAGACAAGATTATATAAATCAGCTTCTGCTAGAAACTGGTATTTCCCTTTCTAGTGGGTTCAGCATGAGCATCACAGAGACACTCAACATGCAGAAGTTACTGGTTTGTTACTCAACGAAGACTTAGGTACAGTCAACAGGTGAAAATACAGAGACCTGAGACACCTGCGCATGGAAATCACGTTGTTTAGGCCCATCCTCGCCCCAATTATCGAGTATTTAGAACATTCTTATAATGAAATTACTGCATTGTAGACAGAAAATCCTTCTCACCTGGGCCAGTATAGAGAGAATTCCAACTACACCAATAAAGGCTGCTACAGTCTCTGAGGAAAAACCAATGACCTGTGAAAATACCAGAAAGTGGTCACTTTTTATGAAACTTGGAATACGTCACTAGTTCTTCTAGCTTCAGCTTTACTGAAATTATTGGCCAAGATCGGCTTTTCCAGCATATGCAACTAAGACAGTATTTTCAGTGTGGGGCTTTGTCTTCAGAGCCCTTCCCTACTGCAAGGGGCTGACCTGGCGCAGGTAGAGGAAGAAGCTGGAGTACTGGCCAGCTTCGGGAAGGTAGGAGAGAAAGACGGTGATACAGATGAGCAGCACTGTAGAGTCCTGGCCCACTTTCCGCAGGGACTGCAGAAAAGGAAAGAAAAATAGAAGGTAATATCCTTAAATATTTTCCAGGTAGAGAGGTAAAAAAAGGAATATTTGCTGCAGAAAGCARGAGAAGTCTGAGATTCAGCAACACGCAACACTTCTGCCTTGGGCAGCCRTCATACCTGCTGCAGCAGTAACCACTGCTGTGCTGGCACAGCACACCACCCTGCTCTGGACTCAGTGCCTTTGGACAATGAAACTTATATTCGAGCAATTGGTACATTCCTGACAACCTTGTTGCAGGGATATCTGAAGCTCCTTTTAGAAATTAAACAGCTAAATTAAACGTTAGAAGCTGCCAGACAACTTATTATAAGTATAGCCTGCTATCAAATGGACAGCACACGTATGGCAGGGTTAAGCAAAGTGCATCTTTCTCCTAAGAGAGAAGAGCAAGGCCAAAGCCAACACAAACATTACAGCACGCAGAAAATAAAGAGCAGCCAGGTTACTTACAGCGAAAGGGTCTGCCTGCTCCCAGGAGATGGGYGCTCCCCAGGACACCGGGCGCATCTCCTCCGGCAGGGATTCCGGCACAGCCAGCAAGATGAAGCCGATATCGAGCAAAGCCACCCCYGAGGCGAGCACAACCACCAGGGTATCGCCGTAGGCTTGGGAAAGGTACGCGCCGATTGCTGGGCTTGTGACCAGACTAGCAGCAAACGTGGCTGAGACCTGCAAGCATAAAAAGTGGACAGGGCCCCTTGCTGGAGCCTGACACGGTCCCACGGCTCCCCGCTTCATTTCACACCTCTCCTAACTGTGCGGCCCCAGCTATTTCCTGCAAGAGCCAAGAGTTATTGAGCTCCTTACCAAGCCGTAGGCCGTGCTGCGTTCATGCTCCTGGGTGATATCAGCAACGTAGGCAAAAATCACCGAGAAGGTAACAGCAAAGACTCCAGACATGGAAATGACAGCAAAATACCACCTGGAACAGGAGTTGCCAAAGGGACAGTTAGGGACCGAGCGCACGGCACCGTCTGCACCTGCCAAATTACAGCTTTCCTCATATTCTCCCTTCAGCCTGTACTCTTTCGTTGCATCATAAATTGCTCAAAATCACTGAATTTCAGTCTCCTGCCTTATCAGTTTTATGATTTCCACCCTTCCCATCTCCTCCCCAGCAAGGGAGTGTCAACGTGGCTTAATAAAGATAATGTACATATTGGGGAAAAATAGGCACTAGAAGTATGAACTTTCTTCTTCTTCCTGAAATGGAACCACCTGGTAGAAGAGAGTAGGTAAATTAGGTTCCAGGCGGCTGAAAGGGCGCATCCTCAGGCTCCCTTTCCACTGGAYACCTCCAGCTCGTCCCCAAACGTGCCCCCGGCAAGTCCTTTGGGCTGAATCCCCCCATTGGAAACCCGCAGCCACGCCAAGAGCGAACTCACCACGGACTGATCTTCATAAGGGGAATTGGCGCACACGTGAAGAACACAGTGAGGAGGAGGAAGGATTTCCTGCCCCAGACATCAGAGAGAGCACCAATCAGCGGGGCACTTAGGAAAGAAAGCAGGCCCTAGGGCAAGAGCAGAGAGAAACGGCTCAGGCAAATTCGGACTTCAACAGCAAGAGCTTTGGGCAGCATTGTGGAAAGCCCAAGTGTGAGGAACCCATTCCTATTTTCTACAAGCAGGAAATTACAGTTCATTAAACTGCTGATATCCTTTTACTGAGGAAAACTCCATCAGCTCAGCACTGCGAAATACTCCGGCCATTTCTCCCTGTCTGTGAGATGCTGGTTTACATTCAGGAAATGAGACGGAGTATAAATTTGTCACTTCTCGCAGTTATTTCAGGTGCAAATGGAAGCCCACACACAATTACACTTATCGAAGGCATGCAAAAGCAAGAGAGCTGTTCCTCACCTTGACTCCGTGAATCAGGCCGTTCATCAAGAACGTGTGCTGGGGAAAGGTCTGGTGCAACACCTAGACAAAAGAGATCAACTTTTACCCAATCTCCACCAAGTTCTAGAGGCCCCTGGCGCCCAATGCCTCTGAGCAGCACGCAGGGAAAGGCAGCGGGGCCGGGCTGTCCCRTCCCGTCCCGCGGCGCCGCTCGCCTAAGGACTCCCTTCATCTCCCCACCGCGAGCAGCCGCTTTCCCTGAGCCACGGCGGGGCTATAAATGACTCCGTGCGTGGGGCAGCGCTGCTCACAGACATGCTGTCACACGGCTGGGATATTCCGACACGTGCCTTTCTCCAGCCCCGTCCCCTTCGTTTTTCCTCTGTTCCTACTTCACTTTTCTGTTCTTCTCTCTCAGTTTTGTACCCTCTCTACACTTGATTTGCACTTTACACCAGAGAGCATATGCCTAGAGGCCTTCATATAATAATAGAGTCTCCTTTTGAGTAGTTACCTAGACATCAAATCAAAAATATGCCTGGCCCATTAGACTTTAATGTGAASTGGTATGTCGACACGGGAAAATAAATGAAAACGAGAAGAGAAATGTTCCTGAAGTTCCCAGGAGACTTACTCACCGTGAGCATAGGAGTGGTCAGCAAGCCCCAGGCAAAGAACTCCAGGAAAATCACCACCACGGCGTGGTAGACGCTGGGCTCGCCGATCCCCTGCCGCTGCAAAGCAACGCCGGCCGTAAGCACCGACAAGAGGCGGCTCCGCTGCAGAGCCGGGGCTGCCCCGAGCCGAGCGCTTCCCGAGGCCGTTCCCGCAGCCCCCTTCCTGCCGGCAGCCCCCGCGCGCGGCTCCTCCCGCTCAGCCTCCAAGAGCCGGCAGCTTCCCTAGGACTGCATACGAGGAGCATTCCCCTGGCAACCTTTGCTATTAACAGGTACTGGGGCACTCGAGGAATTTGGCCAGCCACGTGCGCCTGGGTTTTAAGACGCTACAACTGCATTGGAGATAACTGGCACAGCTCTAGGCTTATCAGGAACGGGACAAGATGCAACAAGAAAAGTTAACTCCAGTGAAACGCCATTCACACACGGAATTACAATAGAACTGCATCCCTCAGACTGGCTGCAAGTCTGCTGGAAGGAAAAAAAAAAGGCAGAACATCAACAGCATCCACACAAGGGCATCAGCCCGGGGAAGCGTGGTCATTAGGTCAGGTTTACTGCACGCCACCCGCGCAGCGGGCAGCAGCAGGAGCAGGCCCACGGCGGCGGGCAGGGCCCGTCCCCAGCTTGCTGCGCCCGCAGGGAAGAGGGTCCCTCTCCTTGCTGCAGCCGCCCCTTTCCAAAGGCCCCTGGCACAGCTCTAACCCCGGCTCCAACCGGAGCTCTGCGCAGCTCGGGCTGCGCGTCCCGCCACGGGACCACGCTCTGCGCCGCGGCCCGGCGCACACGGGCTGCGGCGGCAGGCGGAGGCCGCGCGAGCCGCTGCGCGCGGGGCAGGTTCCGCGCGCGGCGCCCGGTGCCGGGGAACGGCCAGCGCCGCATTTCCGTCGCGTTGTATCTCACGAGACGGGAAGCCTGTGCGCTGCGTTGTGCGCCCGCCCCTTCGGGGCCGGTTGTACCCCGAGCAGCTGCAGGTCACGGCCCCGGGAGCCGCACCGGGRGGCAGCACGAACGACACTGAACTACGGACACCAGGGAAGGCCCGTTCCCGGCTCGGCTCCCCGCGCGGACCCCGAATCCAGCACCGCGGCTGAACCGAGCGCGCCGGCCGCCGCGCCCGCGCTCACGCTGGCGCCGTCGCGGATGACGATCTTCTTGGCGAGCAGCACGCTGCGGTTGAGCCGCTTCTTCTTCTTCTTCTCGCCGGTCATGGCGCCGCGGGGCCGCTGCGGTGGCGCGCGCCCCGCGGCTGCCCCATGTCCCGCGGCGCGGCCCGGCCCGGCCCGGC